CTTGTGCCTGCGTAGAAAGTCGCGGGATGAGCCCCTCGCATTTGTCAAGCTCAAGCAGCCTCAACACTGGAGGACAAAATGGTAAAAGAGTCATTTCAATTATCTCTCAGCTCTTCTTTGTAATCCGTAATTGATTAATGGTGGTTGCCTTCTCTCTTCCTTTATCGATCCATTTGCCATCGCTTCTTCAGGTCAGTACGCCCTCTCCCCCTCCCTCTCCATTTATCATTAGTTTCTGTTTGGTTGCTGAGAAAACAGATAGAGGAAACGTTTGGCTTTTTCTTATAGTTTTTGGTTTAGGTGTTGAATAGATAGATTTTTTTTTTTTTGCAGTGAATTAAAACCTAGGTTACGTTTCTGATTGACTGTCAATTTTTATCTTAAAAAATATCTTCGAGAGGTGAGATTTGGTAACTTTCTTAGAAAATTTGGTTTGACTTTTGTAACTTTCTTAGTAACCAAACAGATCAACTCTTCTTTGGATCTCCTTTTCTCTTATCAACTTTTTGCTTGTTACAACTTTGTTTTTTTTTTTTTCTTTTTCTTTAAAAAATTAGTCTGATTGGTTAATGATGTTGAATTCTTTTTTTTTAAAAAAAAAATGGGGTGTGTGTGGCTTTATTCTGGTTTAGCTGAGTTGTAACTGATCTAGTCTATCTATGTGATCATGTTCAATATTCATTAATCATGCTGTATATATATGTATCATATGAATACCCTCTGGAAATCATAGTTAATCCTCTCTCTCTCTCTCTCTATATATATATATATATGTATCATATGAATACCCTCTGATAATCATAGTTAATCCTCTCTCTCTCTCTCTCTATATATATATATATATGTATCATATGAATACCCTCTGGAAATCATAGTTAATCCTCTCTCTCTCTCTCTCTATATATATATATATATGTATCATATGAATACCCTCTGTTAATCGTAGTTAATCCTCTTTTATTAGCAAAACGGAGTTCTTGTAAAAAAAAAAAAAAGGATTATTACATATTATTTGGATCAGAAATGTGCTAGACTGAAGAACTCTTTTTCATACTTGGGCGATGTTTTTTTCTAAATTATTATTATTACTTCTTTTCACATTTCCATAGCTTGAATTTTAATGATAGTCATAATAAAAGGAGGTGGTGATGGATGGATGGTGTGTTACAGCTCCTTATGACAATGACAGGAAGAAATGACTAATTGATGGGCACATCATCTGGCTCTAACATTCAACACCCTTCATAAAAAATGCTTCCTCCACGACAGCAACCGTGTGCAGCTGGACTACAAACATCACTGTCCTTGGTGTCTTCGGATCTTCACTTGTCCCCTGACGCACAGGAACCAAGATCAAATTCTGATAATATTCGTGAATCTCCTACAGAAAGTGCTAGTTCACAAGAAACTTGGCCTACTGCTGATGCCATGATGAAAAAGAAGATGGAGAATGACAAGGCAGATAATGATTGCCCTGGACAGTCCATCATTCGTCGCGTCTCAGGTGCAGATAAGATTTCTTGTCGTGACATAGCTGGGGAACGAGTTGACATAATCTCTGAGAAGATGCAACATTTACCTGATGACTTTCTTGATGAGCTAAAGAATGGTCTTCGGGTTATGCTTGAAGGAAGTGGTGGTTCACAGCACAGAGAGGAATTTCTGATTTTGCAGAAGCTTGTTCATAATAGGTCTGATTTGACAGCAAAGACTTTGATTAGAGCACACCGAGTACAGCTAGAAATACTTGTTGCAATAAACACTGGAATTCAGGCATTTTTGCATCCAAGTATTAGTCTCTCCCAAACTTCCCTGATTGAGGTCTTTGTGTTTAAGAGATGCAGAAATATAGCATGCCAAAACCAGCTTCCAGCTGATGACTGTACCTGCGAAATATGTGCCAACAAAAGCGGTTTCTGCAATCTCTGCATGTGTGTGATCTGTAACAAGTTTGATTTTGAAGTGAATACATGCCGTTGGATTGGTTGTGATTTGTGTTCTCATTGGACTCACACAGATTGTGCTATTCGTGATGGACAAATTTGTATGGGCCCATCTTTTAAGAGTGGAGCTGGCCCTACTGAAATGCTTTTCCGTTGCCGAGCCTGCAATCGAACATCTGAGCTCTTGGGGTGGGTTAAAGATGTTTTCCAACACTGTGCACCAGCATGGGAACGAGAGGCTTTAACAAGGGAACTTGATTTTGTTAGTAGAATCTTCCGAGGAAGTGAAGACCCAAGAGGGAGGAAACTCTTTTGGAAGTGCGAAGAACTTATTGAGAAAATGAAGGGTGGACTTGCAGAGTCAACAGCTTGCAGAGTGATATTGATGTTCTTCCAAGGTATGTATTATGCTAAGCATTATATAAATAGTCCTCTCTCCTTCAGTATTGGAAGAATATTCAAGCATTAGTGCACTTTGCCACAACAGGCTGCTTGATGCAGTGCCTAAGCAGCTCCAATACCATTTTACATGTGTGCGCCTAATTTCTTTCTACAGATATTGTGTGTGTGTGTGTGTGTGTGACTATTTCTTTTTACACATATTATACGCGTGTGCATGTAACTTTTTGTTATACAAAATTTTATATGTGTGTGTAACCTTTTGTGCTTATGTTTGATGAATTGAAATCCTTATAAGGTGTAAGTGTAGTGCATAGTGAATAGAGATATGAGATAAGAAAAAAAATTATGTTAGGTAAATCAAGATTAAAAAAAAAGGTTTGGTAAAGGTATAATTTAGTGAATGGGGATCCTTAGTTCTTAAGGATAGTAAAACACTGTTGTCAAACTATAAAAGAAATAGTAAAACATGATTTCTATTTATACATTTGAATGTAGGTTAATGAAAGTTCTATTTTGGGAAACATATAATTGCAGTTTTTTTTTTTTTGTTAAGAATGACGATTTTGAAAGGTGAGGTAGTGTAGTCCATGAAAAGAAAAAAAAGTATGTAGTGTAAAACATTTTCCCTTTCATTTTAATGTTGGATGTAGATCAATCACAAGAATTTAATTTCATATGCGACCAATCTAAAGAAGAATTAGAAAAGTATTATTTCCTTGTTCATGTGGATCAATTAACTGAATTGAAGCCTTTTTAGTTTCAATAGAAGTTTTAACACTCCAAAGTTATTCTGATATTTATATATAGTTTTCCTAGTATGGAGGACATATATCATTGAAGTCTTGTATTAAAAACAACACCCTATTTAAATAGAAAAAAATATTACAATTGAATGAAATTTGTTTGACCATTTCAATAATGATGCTACACAAATTGTTTCTTTCTTTCTTTCTTTAATTTTTTTTGTTTTTTTTTTTAATCTTTTGGTGCATGCCATTTAATATACAATTAAATGTAGTTTAATCCAGCCAATGTTGTGAATTATGCCAAAAAAAAAAAAATTTCCTTCTATCCTTGCACGTGATAGAGAAAATGTTCTTCAAATTGAATTAATCTTTGTCTACTTAATTTGTCTATTTTTTTTCTCTATATTTGTTTCTGTAATAAAAATATTGTCCTTAGAAAATATTAAATTTTTCTCGAAGATTGCTTGAGCCTTTGGAGCTTCTAATATTGTAGCTGAATAAAACTAGAGCCAAATATATTTTATGCTATTTTTTTTATAATCTATGTTTAACATAAAAAATGCATATTGTCTCAGTGAATATGCCTCTCACTGTCATTAAGGTAACATCCAAGACAAATTTGAGATAAGACTATATCTTAAGACATATTAAGAGCATATATATAAATCATGCAATCATTTTTTTTTTTGTCCAATAGTGCAGATCGAGACAAATTAATGAATTGAATTGTCAAAGTGATTGACTAATCACTTGGATGCCATGGGTAAAGCAGACATATGAATTTTGGATGCTCAATTACTTTCAAGCACTAATAGCTGCTGTATTTCATAGATGTACAGAGTTGAATTAGTTCAGTTTATAACAAAAAGAGATGGTGATACAAAAAAATCTATAGTTAATAAACAGCCAAAATTTAGAATGAAAAATAATAAATCACCAAAAGTTTCGGTCTTGTTAGAAAAAAATTCTGTGTCAGCATTGCTCCTACTTGCTTCATACGCATAGATAATAGAACTTATAATAAGTACAGGACTATAATATTGCAGACATGGTGAATTCTGGGAGAAACTACCAAAAGATTGTGGAATCTCTCATCTTTAAAAGTCTTCAGGTTCTTAAGGTGCTTGACAACCAAATCCCTACTTGCTGATGTGAAACCCAAGGTTTGCTAATAGAAAAGTAAACCACCTGGGTTGATTGTTGATGGGCTCATAGATCACAAATAGTTTCTCTTAAGATCTGTACCTTAGAGTGATGATCATGAGAAGATAGAATACCCTAGCATTTAGTTATAGGACGTAAGCAAACACAATTTTTCTTCTTTGGCTGTATAGAAAGCGTGACTTATTCTTTAAAAAATTTGCGGTTTCAAGGGGTCTAAAAGAATTTAAGTTCACAGTATTTTAGTAAAAAAAAATAGTAGAAAAACAAAAGGGAATAAATCT